GCCAACGATTATCAAAAGATATCTCGTTGCCAAACCGCCAACCAAATGTGGAACAAGCTCATGATCACATACGAAGGTACGCCTCAAGTTCGTGAATCAAAAATTGATTTACTAACCCATGAATATGAGTTATTTGCTATGAAAGAGAACGAACTTGTGGAGGACATGTTTGGAAGATTTTCAAACATCGTCAACGACCTTGATATGCTTGGAAAGACGCTCACCGACAAGGAGTTAGTGAGGAAAATCCTGCGAAGTCTTACCAAGGAATGGGAGTCGAAGGTAAACTCCATATATGAAGGCCGAGATTACAACATCATCACATACGACGGTCTCCGAGGTAACCTTATCACTTACGAAACAAATCATCTTTCTCATACTCTTGACGTTAAGAAGAGAACGGGAATTGCTTTTAAAGCATCTTCTCAAAAAGTAGAGATCGATGATTCGGATTCGGATAGTGATAGTGATTCTAGCACTTCTTGTGATATTTTGGTTGAATGTTTTAACGAGTTTATGAAACATGAGCTTAATATGAGCAAGAGGAAAAACACCCCAAGGTGTCATACGTGCGGAAAGCTTGGCCACCGTAAATTTGAGTGCCCGAAGCTCAAGAAAATGAGCAAACAAGATGAATTTGCGTATTTTTCGTGGAGCTATGATCAACCTTCCAAAGACGATTTCCTCATCAGCGTTGAAGAACAAGATGGGTGGTCGGGCACGTGACACACTTGAAAGGCGTTGCTTGAAGACTACAAATTTTGTAGTGGATGCTCCAAGCACTTAGCCAAAGAGATTGCATCAAAGGGGAGTGATCATTTATTTTCATTATGTGTTACTTTTAAGATTTATTTGTGATAATTGTTATTTGGGGAATATACATAGGATGTCTTGCATATAGTAAGGGGGAATTTATTGCTATATGTGTTAATCTTTTTGTATGCTTTAATTTTTTAAGGGGAGGTAGCATACTTTAAGGGAGAAGTATTTTATTTCCTAGAAATGCATGATTTTAGGGGGAATGTGATTTTTCTTAATTGTTTAGAATTTTTTTCTCTCCCTGGAATGCATGAGTTCTTTTGTTGCATTATTTTTGATAATGCCAAAAGGGGGAAGAGTATAGGAGTATATGCTTTAATTTGGTATTTGTTGTTAGCATATCCTCTATGTGTTTGTCATTATCAAAAAGGGGGAAATTGTTGGAATGCATGAGCTCAACCCTTTCTGTGTTGTTAAGTGTTGACTCACAGGTTTTGATAATTGACAAAAACATTTTATTCAAGTCAAGACCAAAGTGCTACAATGACAAACACGAAGACTTGAAGTGCCATTCCTTGAAGTATTCAAGAAGGTGCACAGGATTTTATTGGAGTCCGAGACGCGTTCGGAGCGCCTAGCGAAAATTCTCTTCTGGATTTTTGGTGCCCTTGGATCGATCCCCCGATGTTTTGACAGATATCTTATTTCGATCCATTACTCCAGGTGATTGATCCTTTCCCCTGGATCGATCCCCAACGGTCCTATTCTGTCAAAATCAGCCTTCCCCACTTCCAACGGATTTATTTCTTTTTCCTCTATTTAAACACTCTTCCTTGGTCATTTTTTTAATGAAAAAAACACTCCAATACTCCCCATTCTTGAGGTTTTAATCCTCCATCAATCTTTCCTCAAATATATATTATTTTGAGAGAAAAACTATTTGTTTTTAAGAGAGTGTTTTGTCATCCATTAGAGCCTTAATCATTTCTCTTATCTACTCTTTTGAGAGCTATTGTTGAGAGGTTGAAGAAGATTGTTCTTCTTGTTGTGCAAGGCTTATGTGATTTAAGTCTTGGTTGTGAAGTCTTGTGGAGGGCATATATACGAGCGGTTGTGTCGAGGCTTGTGGGATTCAAGTTCTCGAGTTGTAAATGGTTTGTTAAGCACTCGTAAGCTTAATGGAACTAGTGGTAGCTTCGAGAGAGTCTCTCGGGGAACTGGACTAGCCACGAGGTGGTGAACCAGTATACATCGGTGTGTTCTTTGCCTTCTCTATTTTATTTCCGCTGCACTCTCATTTATATTATTAATCCTGCGAAAATTGGTAAACATTCTCAACAAGTCTATTCACCCCCCTCTAGAGTTGCACGCCTTGTCTAACACATCGCACAAGAACGGACCAAATTATATGCTCCATAATATAGATTTGAAAGAAAGCACAAACATTTGGAAAAAAAAGGGAGTAAGCAGAGCAAAACCTTTGACAAGAGACCAAAGAAGGGTCGGGAGCCAAACCCAAGGACTCGGAGTAAGCAGCTAATCGCGTGCCGAAAAAGGTGCTCAATGGGGGTATGGATGCTACGTTGCTGGCCCAAACTGCAAGGTTTTTTATATGATCCACTTTCACCATCAACTTGGGGTTAACATGACTCGGCTTCCTTGCATTCCAATCATGTCGGATCGTGCTTGATCCAAAAGTCACACCACCACTTCCTTCTCTCGAGTTAGGCCCTTTCTTGCCCATATTTTGGGGTGAAACAGTCACGGAACTCGCAGCCTGGATAAATGTTAGAGTCTATCCCACATCGGAAAATTGAATAGAAAAGTTATCGGTATATAAGGTCTTGAGTTGAACTAAGTAATCGATTGGATTCAATCTTTTAATGTGGTTCAACCCAAGTGTCTTATTGCTCAATCCAGTTGTCTCTACCCAATCCTAATTATAAATTCTATAAATGGTATCAAAGCCTCGTTGACTAAGAGGTCACGGGTTCGAAACTTAGCGCCACCCAGTTTAAAAAAATTAAGGTTTCACGTGCAAGGCTCGAAAAAGACTACGCCTGCACGTGAGGGGGCGTGTTAGAATATAAATGGTATCAGAGCCAGTTTTAGCCCACCTCGTTTGTCAAGGTGTCCGTCTAGACGTTCATTCCTAGCGGCCCGTTAGTCTTTAGCCCAGTTGTCCGTATGGAGTATGTACCCAACGGCCTGTGGCCTGTTTAACACGATTACTTGTCTGGAAGTCCATACCCAGCGACTCGTGGTCCTTTAGGTGTTGGCGCTCATTAAAAAAAAAAGTCAAGGGATGGGAGTCCATTTGCAAGTGGTCAACCGGTTAGATTCAAAATGGCCCGGTTGTCCACTTGAGGGGGAGTGTTAGAGTCTATCCCACATCGGAAAATTGAATAGAAAAGTTATCGGTATATAAGGTCTTGAGTTGAACTAAGTAATCGATTGGATTCAATCTTTTAATGTGGTTCAACCCAAGTGTCTTATTGCTCAATCCAGTTGTCTCTACCCAATCCTAATTATAAATTCTATCAATAAAAAAACCCACCATTCATACATATTTTCATTCACAAAACGAAAAAAGGGTGTAATTATTAAAACAAAATCTATCAGCTAAGCAGGGGAAACAATATCAGCATAAAATGTCATGGAGTATTAGTTTTTTCTTCCACATATACTGTTAGCGTATATTATATATGTAAATTAGTTTATGTATATCATATATCATAGTGGGCCTATCTTATTGGGCTTGTAACTGTAACTTGTATATATATCCTCTGGTATCAATAATACAATCAAGTCATTCAGTTACCAAATTTTACATGGTATCAAAGCTAAACCTGGGATATCACGTGAAACCCTAGGTCTACCGCTGCCGTCTCTCGTTCGCAGGTCTCTGTCTCCAGTTGGTCGCTGGTTTTCTTCTCCAGTCGTCCACACCGGCGAGTCGTCAGTCCATCGCAAGTGCACCGTCCCAGTCATATGTCTTCCTCGGCGTTCCAATTTCTGTCCGTCGCCATGTTTGCCGAAGTTGCTGCCACAACGAAGAAAACCCGCTTGATTCACGATCCTTCATCCATATACTATCTCCACCCTTCCGAAGGTCCCGATAACTCTCTCACTAAATATTTGCTGAAGAGTGATACTTTTGACATATGGGAAAAGGCGATTCTTAACGCTCTTGGAGGTCGTGGAAAATCTGTTTTTTTGTCATCCGTGGGGGTTCCTAAACCCACCGATGAACATGAGCTGTCTGCTTGGTATGCTAATAATCAAATAATCTGTAGTTGGATCTTCAACAGTGTTGACGAGTCTATTCAACCAAGTATTGTTTCTCATACTATTGCTTTTGAATTATGGGATGATTTACAAAAGAGGTATAGTTGCTCCAATGGACCACGCATCTACCAGTTGAAGTTTGAATTGAGTTCCTTACGGCAAAAAGGACAAAGTGTTGTCTCCTACTTTAATCAGTTTATCACGTTGTGGAATCAACTTCATGGTTCTAAGGATCCCACAAATGGGTGTAAGTGTGCGGCTGCTGCTATTACTCGTGCGCAGGTGGAGCGGGATAAAACCATAGATTTTCTCCTCGGCCTTGATGATGAACAATTCGGTCATATTTGGTCGCAAATTATGGCTACCGAACCTGTGCCGGATATTGATTGCGCTTATTCTTTAATCTCACAGGAGGAACGTCACAGGTCTATTGTTCGTTCTCGTGACGATCGCACCGACTCAGTGGCCTTTGCTGCACGGTATGATCGTTGTCCGCCGACTACCAGCAAATTTCTGTGCTCACATTATGGTCGGACTAGTCACACGGTCGAAACTTGTTATGAACTTATTGGTTTTCCTACTCACTATAACAAAGGTCCCGGTGGTCGTGGTTCTTCGGGCAGTAACCGTGGGGGTCGTGGAGGCCGTGGGGGAGGTCCAGCCGGTGGCCATGGTGGGCGCGGGTCCGGCAATACTCCAGCCGCTGGTCCAAGCAGTAGCCAGCCAGCAGTGACCACCAGCGGCAGTGGACCCCCCGCGGCAGTGCACGCAGCTTTAAGTGACGCGCAATCTTCCCTCAGTGGTCAGATGAGTCGACTTATGTCTATGTTAGAAGCCTCCGCATCACATACTTATTCTGGTATTCTCTCTTCTTGTGATTGGATTATAGATAGCGGTGCTTCACATCACATGACGGGCACTTTGTCACACATGTTTGATGTTGAGGATGTGTCTTCTCATCCTATTTGTCTCCCCGATGGCTCCCGGATTCAGGCTACTAAAAAGGGGAGTGTCCGTGTGACATCTAGTTTGGTTCTTCATCATGTGTTTTATGTTCCCTCATTGCATTGTCATTTACTTTCTGTTGGGTGTTTGATTCGAGACACCACTTGTTATGTAACTTTTAATGATTTTAGTTGTGTAATCCAGGACCGTTCGTCGAAGATGGTGATTGGACAGGGTGAAAAGCGAAACGGAGTATACATCTTGGTTCCTTCCTCTGCGTCGGCTAATGTGGCTAACGTGGATCCTTTGCTTCTTCATCAGCGTTTGGGTCACCCCTCCTCAGATATTATTTCTTTATTACAGTTCAATAAGTCTGGTTCTGTTGTCAAGAAACTTCAAACTTGTGAGATTTGTTTTTTGTCTAAACAAACTTGTTCTTCTTTTCCTATTAGTCATAATAAAGCTGAAGCAATTTTTGATTTAATTCATTGTGACTTATGGGGTCCTTACTCTCCGTGTTTATCCTCTGGTGCTCATTACTTTCTCACAATTGTTGATGATTTTTCTCGTGCTGTTTGGGTGTATCTTATTCGTACTAAAAGTGAAGTAACCGCCTGTCTTAAATGGTTTTTTACCATGATTCACACCCAATTTTCTAAAATCATCAAAGTGGTCCGGTCTGATAATGGCACAGAGTTTCTCAATGCCCCTTTGCGTCAATATTATGATTCTATGGGTGTCTGTATCCAAACATCGTGTGTCGGTACTCCTCAGCAAAATGGTCGGGTAGAACGTAAGCATCGTCACATTCTCAACGTTGCTCGTTCTCTCATGTTTCAGGTGTCTCTTCCAGTTGAATTTTGGGGGAATGTGTCAAAACTGCTGATTATTTAATTAATCGCACACCGACAAAACTCTTGGGTGGGAAATCTCCTCTTAAAGTCCTTTCGTCTAAACCCCAAGATTTAAGTCATCTACAGGTGTTTGGATGTCTATGTTTTGTCCGTCAGACCTCAAAACCTCTAAAAAAATTTTCACCCCGTAGCGTGAAGTGCATGTTTCTTGGGTATCCTTATGGAACAAAAGGGTGGCGTGTGTATAACTTGGATACTCATTAATTTTTTCACGCTAGGGATGTTGTGTTTGACGAATCACAATTCCCCTTCTCCGTCCCAAACACCACCAGTTCAGTCCAACCAGTTCTCAATCCCGCCGACACCGACTTCCCTGTCCCCTCTCCGCCGGCTGCCTCTCTCGGCGATACCACCGAGCAGTCCAGCCCGTCTGTCGTCCCTGCCTTGTCTCCAGTCACTGTCCTGTCTCCCAGCTCTGTCCCAACGACCGAACAGCCCCTCGGTCCCGTCACTGTCTAGTCGACGGGCGAGTCTCCCTCGTCCGTCCCGTCTCCTACTCCTTTACCTCCCTGCACACGCCGCCTCCCCACCCACCTCAATGACTATGTCCTTCATTCCGTGTCTACCGTCACTCCGTCTTCCTCTTCACCCAGCTCAGTCTCATCTGGTACCCGGTTCCCGATTACTAACTATGTTCATTATAATAAGTTGCATGACAGGTACAAGAGCTTTGTTGGTGCTATAGATGCTTCTCCGGTTCCCACTTCCTATAGAGAAGCCGTCAGGTTTGCTTCTTGGAGGGAGGCTATGGCACAGGAATTCAATGCTTTGGAGCGGAATCATACTTGGGAGATCACTGATTTACCTCCAAATCGGCGGGCCCTTGGTTGTCAATGGGTGTATCGTACTAAATATCGGTCTGACGGCACTAAGGAGCGGGATAAAGCACGTCTGGTGATCCTGGGAAATCATCAAGAAGTGGGGGTTGACTTTACTGATACATTTGCCCCCGTAGCCAAGCTGGCTACTGTTCGGGTGTTGTTGTCTGTCGCTGTTGCACGCGGATGGCAGGTTGACCAGTTGGATGTCAACAATGCCTTTTTACACGGGGATCTCAAGGATTAGATTTATATGAGGCTCCCACCTGGATATTCTCATTTGTTCCCTAGGAAAGTATGTCGCTTGCGAAAGTCCTTATACGGGCTCCGTCAGTCTCCCCGTAATTGGTTCGCCAAGCTTCGTCTGGCTTTGCGTTAGTATGGTTTTCGCCAGGCTCATGCCGATCATACTCTTTTTGTTCTCTGTCGTGGTCCTGATATACTTGTTGTTCTTGTGTATGTGGATGATATTCTTGTTGCAGGCAATAATCCTTCTTTGTGCACTTCTTTTAAGAAGTACTTGGATGCCTGCTTTCAGCTCAAAGATCTTGGACCAGTCTCTTATTTTCTGGGTATAGAGTGTGCTCGGTCCTCTACTGGTATGGTGCTTAATCAGCGTAAGTACACCTTGGACATTCTTCAGGAACACAATCTTTCTAGATGCAAACCTGCCGATACCCCCTTGCCTAGCAACCATAATCTAGCCCGTTTTACTAGTGCTGACCTTCGGGATGATGCTAAGTATCGTCGCCTTGTTGGCCGTTTGTTGTATTTGACTATTACTCGGCCGGATATCTGTCATGTTGTTCATGCTTTGTCTCAGTTTATGCAGGCTCCACGTCTAGACCATTGGACCGCAGCTCTTCGTGTTCTCCGGTATCTTAAAGGGCATCCAGGACAGGGTATTCTCCTTCGTCGGGATAGTGACCTGACTTTGACGGCCTATTCTGATTCAGATTGGGCGAGTTGCCCGCTCACTCGTCGCTCGGTCACCGGTTATTTTGTACTTCTTGGTGGGTCCCCTATCTCTTGGCGCACTAAGAAGCAAACTACAGTGTCACGTTCGTCTGCAGAGGCGGAGTACCGCGCCATGGCTAACGCCTGCGCTGAAATCCGGTGGCTCCGTGGTCTTTTGGCCGCCTTACAGGTCCCTTGTGTTGCTACTCCGCGGTTGTATTGTGATAATAAGTCCGCTCTCTTTATTGCGGCTAATCCGGTCTTTCATGAGCGTTCGAAACACATCGATATCGATTGTCATATAGTTCGGGAATGCCTACAGCGCGCTCATATAGTCACGGCTTATGTTCCTACGCGGTTGCAGACAGCCGATATCTTCACAAAGGCGCTCCCCGGTCCTCTTTTTCGTTCTCTTTTGTCCAAGTTGGTCATTTTTGATCTCTATGCTCCAACTTTAGGGGGGGTGTTAGCGTATATTATATATGTAAATTAGTTTATGTAGATCATGTATCATAGTGGGCCTATCTTATTGGGCTTGTAACTGTAACTTGTATATATATCCTCTGCTATCAATAATACAATTAAGTCATTCAGTTACCAAATTTTACATATACATATCTTACATTCCTAACCATGGAGTCTCGACTCGTTATTTGTGATTTAATTGATAAATAGTCATACTCTATATAAAAAATAGAAGAAAAAAAAATCTGCTATTCGAACGAACATTCAAAATATAATTCTCAAACTAAATTTTCAATGTCATAAATTCTACATCAGAATTTTTTTAAAGATAGTATTCAATCATTCTCGGTAATGTTGTTGTAAACTAGCTGAAAATACCCACTTTAGCAAATGAATTACACTCTGTATGTTTTTCAGTCACGATTAAATCAACCCCTTGACCTAGAAGAATCATCACTGTCCTCAATTAGCCCATCGCAGTGTATTAAGTGACATCGAATCAATCGATTAGAGGGGAGAATTACCTAAGACACCTGAGGAAGTGTCTTGTGGCGGCAGCAGGCGTGGGGCGGCGGTCTGTCTAATGCCGCGTTTGTGTACTCGCCCAAAAATCAATGTTTTTATGCATTTTCATATGGATTTTTTTAGAGTAATTGTATAATTAGTTTTTGGGAGATTTTTTTATTTTAATTCTTTATTATCAAATATTACGTTCGTAGTCTTTTTTTATGTATATTTTTTCAGAAATAGTTCTTTTTTATTTCTGTCTTATTGTTATTGGTGTTATTTTGAATGTTAAAATATTTCATAATGATCATATATATTTCTTGTCATACACAATGCAATAAGTTGTTCCAGATGCATTGTTTGTAAATCTTAATCGCTTTATGCTACAATCATAGTTTACACACTACAGATATAGTCTTTCATTAGAATCTTTGTCCACATCAATAGTCATTATTCTTGTGTTTTCCATCCAACCGACATTATAATATGTCACTGCACATAAAGTTGATGTCAAATTATACTTATAATCCTCAAATTAACATCAACATTTCACATGTTTGAAAATTTAATTAATTCGGAGCATTAAAATAGATGAAATTTAACATTTTAAAAAGTGATATTTACACATTTTTCGAATGGTCTATTAAAATAGTAAACACACAAAAATTTGACCATTTAAAATACTTAAAAACTCAATTGAAAATTTTACATAATTAATTAATCTTTGAATTTTCTTCGACAAATTCTCGTAAGTGGCAATACAATTTACTTGCAACTTAATATGAGACGAATGGAGTATATAGTGTGATAGGGGGCATGGAGTGAGTATGAATTTTTCTTCCAAAGAAACGGAAATCATTTTCCCCTTGAATCTTAATTGAAGAAAATATTTTCCGACCACTAATATTACCAAATAAAAGAAAATAGAACCAAAATTTTATGAGAATATTTTGCAATTCGGGGAGTAATAAATACCCACCCTCCAAACTGCAAAGGTAAAGAACCAATTGACCAAACACTCACCAATGAGACCCACTAATATTTCCCTGCTTAGCATTTCTTGAAATGGACAGTTCAGTAACAAAAATAAAAAAAAAACAGAATTCTTTGACAACTCTCAAATGTCTTACCAAATCCAAGGATCAAAGCTAGCTCATTGAGACTTAGGGTTTGCAGACCGAAATGACTCTTTTGTCCTCCCATAGTACACTGACGTACCTCCAGGATAGTATATAAAATTCCAGCCAAACGCTGACCCCCCAACTCTATACGTACCCTTGGCAATGGCGTCACTGCCCCACTGGGGGAGATTTCCCGGCGCCGCCTTATCTTCAGAAGGCTTATTATTAGTTGTTGTTGGCGGCAGCGGCGGCTTCTCTGCAGTTTTTATATTCTGATGCGTGGCGCTGGGCTTCAAACCTTCAACTGTGTCCTTGGGATTAGATGGCGCTGTCGTGGTTTCTGTAGCCATCTCTTTGCAAAGATCCATGAGAACGGCTAGCTCTGCTCATTAAGAACACGAGGAACCATTTCATCAAGTCACTCAAATTAAGTGCTTTATGGGTTGAAGATTGATAAATCCCATAGAGTTCTAAATTTGCAGTGAGCCCTAAACTTAATCAAAGGTTCTGAATTTACAGTTTCAAAAAGGAATCATTGTTTTCCTCGCCAAATACTAGCGAGTGTCTGTTGCAATGCTATGAATCTTTGGTTTCTTATAGCATTCATAACATATATACCAACAAGAGCTATCATTGTCAACACTTCACTTCCAAAACCATCAAATCAAACAAGCCATAAAGCTACCTACGCGTTCTGGTGCGAAATAAATCTTCAAAATCTTACCTTGACGAATTTCAGTAGCTGCCTTGCAATTGCGAAAGTCAGGAGTGCGAAGAACCTTCAGTGAGAGAAGGAAACAACAAGAAATTCATCAGTACCCTTCATTGGATTATTGCATTCAAATACACATTTCGGAATGCAAATGCATTCAGTAGATGAAACAAGACATTCTATGTTGCGTGAACACTTTGCCATGAAACGAAACCATGAACACGCGGTCCTAATCTGCAATTTCATCAGTCTAACTATGATACGGAAAGCTTTAAGAACATATTTTTCAATATATCCACTAAAAAAGAACTAAAATCATAACCATGGGACTTGAACTAAATCTTCCAACACAAGATCTAATGAGGTCAAAGAGAAGAACTGTGCATCTTATGCTAAATTGTGAAATATCACATTGATGCTCCCTCAAACCGGAATTTAATTGCCAGCTCTCCAAAATAACTCGAATATTAAGTATTGTGATAAAATGCCAACTCCATTCACTGCGGATGTTTGTTACTCTGTATTTCATTTATGTAACCAGATCTCAAGAGTAAAATTCATTGTGTGTTTGTTATCCTTATACTTCAAGGGTATGTTGAGGAATTCATGTGATAAAAACAGTTTCCCAAACGTATAGCAACTGGACAGCTAATTACAGACGTCCCAAATGGACCGATGGACAATCCGGTTGGAGGGAATATTTCCCTAATGCTTTTCATTCGGCCAAATATTCAAATCCAACCCTAAAACACATTTCATTACACATTCACCACGTGTGACGTTTATCAATAAAAAATTAATCAATAACTTGTGAAGACTAACTTTCTAGGAAACCCATTGCTCAATGTGAGGGAGTTTGTACACCTGCCATACCCTTACTATAAAGTAGAGAGACTAAGTTTCCAAGAAACCCCTTCTGAGAGACATATATATGAACAAAGAAGCCTCCTAAGCATGAATACAGTATAAACAAGGATGAAAGAAGCACACTACGACTAAGAGTTAGACATAAAGGGCCAAAAACACCCAAGCACACACTACATGCTAAAAGGCAAAAACACACCAGCATAAACTACGAACAAAGGCGAATGAATCTACCCAACTACTCTAACCCTAGACTGCTTTCCTATCTAAGATCATATCCTAGAGAGGAACCCATGGCTCAAAGTTTTAAAATTCAGTGAAAGATGGGCAAAAGAGGTATGGGTGTACATGCCTGAATGATATGGGGTCGAAGCTCTTTAACAATGGCTCTCATCTTGTAGTAAGGAGTGCTCTGCAAGTGCGCCAGGTCAAGCTGCCTCTTTTTTGCCTTGGGCTGTTGAGGCTGCGGATTAGCTCTGGTGTCTTCCATGGGTGATAGGTTCTTAGTTCTTGGAGAGGATTGTTGAAACTCGTCTTCAAGCTTCTGATATGGGGCACTGCAGATTGGTATTTTGAAATTAAAGGGGAAGATCGCTTCAGATTTGGAATACTTGACAATGTACATGTATAAATTCACCAGTGATTAACAAACAGAAAACAAAAATGGGTGTTAGAAAATTGAATGGAAAAAACAATTTTTGTTAGATGATCTTTGATAAGTTTGGAGGTTGAAGCAGCGAGAAATACCTGAGAATGTGTGTGTATGTGGATTATAGAAGAACGAAGAAATTGTGAATTGGGAAATGGGTTCGGGTTTTTCTTTAAAACGAATGGCGAATAGACTTTTTTTCCCCAATTTATTTTCTTATACTCGTAAAATTACTTCAGTGTGCTCTCGATTTTTTTTATAATAACTTTTAGATTTCACATTATTATCTGAAATATACTTCGAATATCTTCAAGTTTTTAGAAATTATATGTAAATCAATTCTTTCTTTCATTTTGACGGAATCACATTACTAGATCAAAATTTCAAATAATTACTTTTAATCCTACTCGATCAAAACTATTGGACTTCGAACAGAGATATCGCACTTTCATATTGTAAACATATTGTATACTATTGTTCTAAAATGGGAAAAGTTGATAGGCAATTTATATGACAATGCTAGAGAGATTTAGACAACCATACATGTTTCTTTCCTTGCTTTGGCAGAGCAAGTTTAGTCAGAACATCCTTGAGTTCCTTTACCCGAAACGTGGCCACCTTGTCCTATAAAAGATAAATGACACCGAAAACTTGCAATTATCAAGGTTAGAACCACAATTGAAAAAATAATAACAATTGATGAAGAGGAATGCTCACCCTCAAATATTGCACAGAAAATAATAAAAAAAGAACGATGAAAAGGAAAAGGCATTGTTAAAAGAGTGGTGAAACTACATGTTCAAACAAGAAAGAAACATCATATCTTCTGTCTTTAAAAAAAATATAAGCCTAACCACAGTTCACAACTAAGTAAAACAAAGTTGCTTTAGTAACTATTCTTCCACCGGAAGCAGGCACAGGATAATGAAGGACACAGGATAACTATTCTTCCACCGGAAGCATCCACAGTAATTCGTAAATTTAGTTGCATATAAATTAAAATTAGAGAAAATGAACCATGATCTGCCATTCATTCTAAAAAACAAAAATTTGTGATTTAATGGCTACTAACATTTATAATAACGTCGTTATTACTTCAGCACTCTGATCAATCACTCACGACCCCATACTAAATTCTTCACCATTCTACTAACATGGAAATTATAATATCTACCATATAATGAAATAAATTTGTTTCCATTAACATATGAAGCATTTACACTATTTGATTTGACGGATGGGATGAGATGTGATGCGTATGATGGAGGGAGGGAGAGGGACTCTAGTACACGTCATTTGGAATTACCAAAATACTTTAGGAAAGGGAGGCTATGGGGGAAGCTTCCCCTGAAATATTAATTTAAAAAATTCTTCCGATCCTTCACTTGTTTTCTTCCCACAAATCCCCTCCCATCCGCAACCCGCACCACTCAAACCAGACAGAGGTCAATTGGCATGTAACAATAAAATTATTTTTCTTTACGTTAGCTTTAAGCACCATGATCTGCAGCACACAACCAAGAGTTCAAATCACAAACATCCAACATAACCAAAATCCAAAGTATTCATTGGATAATCTGTTCATCTCAATCCAAGTTTTGTCCATTTCAAAAAGATGTAAAACCTAACAAACAAAAACTAAACCAATAATGTCAGTGTCTAGAGTTTGAAAAGTTTCTTGTTCAAACCATAAATATGTACTAACATTACTAACTGCAAACTACATGACGGGTATGCAAGTTCTCCATTCGTGGTTCTTAGTTTTGTTCAAGGTGTGCAAGGAGTTCTTTCTCTTTCAACATTCAAGAAAATAAAATGGAAGTGGCAAATAAAATGATTTAAGTGATTTCTGCTTCAATGATTATCCTTTTTGAATAAAAAATAGGTATAAAACATGCATTGATGATCCTTTTTTAATCCTTTAAAAATTATAATTCTTTAAAAAATCAATTTAAAACATGGATCTGATCCTTTAAAAATCAGTACAAAATATGCATTGATTACTTTTTGTAATCCTTTAAAAGAATCAGTATAAACATGCATTAATTTCTAATTTAAAACTTCAATAATCTTTTTGTATATAACATTCAAGAAAATAACATACAACATTAACTGCAAGGTTTTGAGAGGCAAAAATGGGCCTTAAGGCAGTTGAGAAAAATGCCTTGAGGCGTAAGCCTAATTTCAATTTGGAAAAACTAAATCTAAAATGAATTACCCATGGTAAATACAGAATACATAATCCATAATCATTATGATGAAATCTAAATGCTTCAATTCCCGATTTTTACAAAAAGTAGTACCTTATCTTGATTTTTTAATACAAAAAAAGAGAGAATTACTCCCAAAAAAATAAATAATAACATAAAATACAAAGTCACAAACGCCTCAAATCCATCTCCAAACATGATAAAATGGATAATGTTTCATGATTTTTTCTACTTCATAACCAAAATTTGACAAGTTTACTTTCACTACATAATACAATGAAATTTGTAGTTAAGTGACTTTAATACAAATCAAAGAAAAACCATAGATGAAGAGAGAGAGTAGTACTAGGAAAAGGGACAAAAATTTGAAATTGAAATAGAAACTTGAAAAAATTGAAGGTGAAGTAATTAGAACATGAAGCAATTTTTGTCCAGAAAAATTTGAAGGTGAAGTAATTAGAACATAGCCTAATGCTTGAGTGTTCCTCTGTAACCTTAGGGTTAAAAAACAATATCAGAAACTAAAATTTAAAAAAATCAGAAAGTAAAAATCACCATTATATTTCTTCATACATTCAACCTATTTAACACATTACTTCACACAAAAAACTCAGAAAATAAAATTCGTACCGTCAAACCATTCAAAACTGCTTTTTGGATATAGAATCATGCCCCAATGCATAAAATTAGGAACAACAACTTTAAGAATGAAGGGGTATATAAGATGTGAACTAAAAGAATGAAGGGGGCTGAACGATTGTGAAGAGGATACGATTGAGAAGAAGCTGTTGACCAAAGAATGAATCTACCCAATGGATTGTGAATAAAGACGCACGCTGAAGGACTGAGAGCTGAACGAAAAGGCTTTCCTCGTTAATGAGTGAATTCACTCGAACAAAAAGGATCGAATTGCTTACTGGATTTCTTAGAGGAGCGTGAGCCGGCTGGAATAATTCGATCGATGACATGTACGTACCTCAGATTGCTCGATGTATACCTAATCTTGATTTCGTCAGATGGGTGAAGCACGATGTGTGCGCCGGCTGGAATAATTAGACCATTTGATGTCTTAGATTTTTTTTAGGAGGATGAATAATTTAGGCGATGGAATGAAAAAGTGAGTGCTAAAGGGAAATTATTTTCAGTAAATTTTTAAAATATTTAGTTTCTATGCTACCAAATAAAAGAGGACTAATAATGATACTCCCTCCGTCTCCCTAAGATGTTCTCATTTTGACTTTTGGCGGTTTTTAAGGAGAGTTGAAAAAAGGTGAAAATTTACCATAATACCCTTAATGAAAAATGAATGGAGTGTATTAAATGAGGTGGGTGAGGTGTAATAAATAAAGTAAGTGGGGGTAGTTGTGGTATTTTAATTGTTAAAAAATGAAATGAAAAGATCTATTGTGGACATAGAAAAAGGGCTATTGAGAAGATCTATGGGGGACGGAGGAAGTAATATTTATATGTTTATTTTATAATTAAGTACAATTATGTTATTTTGGCACATTTTTTTAGTGTGGTTAAATGAAATCGCTTTTTACTTTTTTTTAAGTGCAGAAAATGATAAAGTGTTGAATTTTATTACCACACTTGATCATGTGCAACAAATTAAATGCAGCTAAAAGACTTTTTTCTTGTAGTTAAGTTTGCTTCAGATTTGGAATACTTGACAATGTACATGTAAAAATTCGCCAGTGATTAACAAACAGAAAACAAAAATGGGTGTTAGAAAATTGAATGGAAAAAAAACAATTTTTGTTAGATGATCTTTGATAAGTTTGGAGGTTGAAGCAGCGAGAAATACCTGAGAATGTGTGTGTATGTGGATTATAGAAGAACGAAGAAATTGTGAATTGGGAAATGGGTTCGGGTTTTTCTTTAAAACGAATGGCAAATAGACTTTTTTTCCCAAATTTATTTTCTTATACTCGTAAAATTACTTCAGTGTGCTCTCGATTTTTTTTATAATAACTTTTAAATTTTACATTATCTGAAATATACTTCGAATATCTTCAAGTTTTTAGAAATTATATGTAAACCAATTCTTTCTTTCATTTTGACTGATTCACATTACTAGATCAAAATTTCAAATAATTACTCCCTCCGTCCCAATTTAAATCGTCTGTTTTGATTTTTGGACATATTTAAGGAAAATAAAAAATATAATTTATTTTCTGAAATTATCATTACTTTTTAGAAGGGGTGATGATGAATGAGAAGATAAGGTGAAGAAAAGTAACTTATTTTAGAGATAGTTTAGGTATTTTATTTTTAAAAGTTTACAAAAATAATTAACAGACAACTTATTTATTTTGAGACGGAGAACTTTCGATCAAAACTATTGGACTTTGAAAAGAGATATCGCACTTTCAGTTAGCATCTAAGGAGTCAAAGTTTAAGCTGTCTTATACCAATAAAAAACAGGGAGGTGTTCTTGTCAGAGACTGACTAGATGCATTATTGCATTTACTATCCAAAACTTCAGAGAAAAGCAAAAAAACAAGAGAAGTTTATTGTTCCATTTTGATTTAGTTGATTGTGTGCTTGAAACTAAAACATTGACAATAATGAGCCTTTGAGCTCCGTTGGAAATAGACGAAAAATGGAAATTTAACCAGATAAACACACATGGAGATCGAAGAAAAATTCAACATTAATCTTCCCATTAAGTTCATTAACAACTTAATTGAGTACTGCTCCAAACATTGTAAATATGATCATACCATTTTACAAGTGCTCCTAATTGTCAACCTCCATAGCTTGTGCAGCTTTGGCTTTTGCCAATGGCGTCAATTTCGTCTTCAATTTCTTCTTCCCAACTTTGAATTTACTGCCACCTTTCTTCTTGCTCTTTCCATCCACCTAACACCACCATCAAAATTAAGCACCCCATTTATTGGTTTAACATCAAAAGCCAATTGAAAACAAAAGTATTGTAATTTTGAATGTCATTAAGATGCTATTAACACTAATTAAATCATCCCTAAAGTATATGACAAGTGAACTGATAACACAGCCGACACTCTTTTCAACAAAAAGTTACCATTGAACATGATTAGAAGATAACGCTATTCAAAAATCCATGCCAATACTCTTTTTAAGCTTGAGATTTTTTAAGAATATTCCAAGATAACATCATTATAATCAGTGGTGCCAGACATTCAACTTTTTCACTATAATACTCCACGATTGCATATTGATCCAGATATGCCTTAAAAATTAGGGCATCCATGTAAAATAAAAATATCTTTAGGAATACTTTTGTAAAAAACTAAATTTTCGGGAGCACTTGTAAAAATCATGTAATCTTGAAGTAATCTTGTAAAATCTCAATTTTTTTTTGGAGTATTGTCATGAATCTTTTCCAAAAAGAAACAGCAATGGGTTTCAAATGAATCAAAGGGACGGATTAATTTGGAAGAAAAAATCAAGAAAATAAATGAAAAAAAGTGAAATTGAAGAAAAAAAAGAATCGATTTTGAAGAGATTAAAAAGGAAATTACTTTCATCTTGTCCTTTTTGGCTTGTAGCTTCTTCTCCTTCTGTTCCTTCGCTTGCTTCTCTCCTGAATTTCCAGGAAATTAACAAAGCACAAGATTCCAACAACGAAGAAAAAAAGAATTAAAAATAAGATAGAAAAACATCAAAGGCGTCTTACTTTGGAGATCGAATTCGTGTTGCTTTCTGCGGAGAGCCAAATTGTTCTTCTTCGACATTTTTGATCGGGTGGAGAGTGCTGCAGCGAATTGCCCAAAACCCTAACCCCAAATTCGCTCATCATACTTAAAATTCTGGGGATTGGATACTCGGGCCTAAACTTCATCAACAGGCCCGACCCAATAATTTTATGCAAAAAGATATGAATAATTTTACAACTTCATACTTTTAGTAAACGAATAACCAATGACGCAATTACACATCGGGTCTCATGATTTTTAAGATATGAAACTATAGAGAGTCGGCTACGATGAAAGATATGTTCTATCGGTCTGTAGTTAGATCTATAGTTTTAAAAACCGGATCGGACCGGCCGGTTCGGATCGGAAACTGGTGAACCGTTCATCAAATCGGTACGGTCCGGGCAATCAGACCGGCTCCGGCATTGAACCAGTAGAAACCGGTTAAAACTGGAGAAAACTGGCCGGTTTTTGGCCGGAACCGGTTTTTTTTTAATTTTTTTGCAAACTTTTTTAAAAATGCACATGCCTAGGGGTGTAAACGGATAATATCCGTTTCGGATGTATTATAACCATATCTGAATCCGATTAGCAAAACTGTTATCCGAATCCGCATCCGTATCTGATGGATGTCTACAATACTAAATCCGAATCTGAATACGGCGGATACGGATGCGGATTCGGATATATGTGCATCCGATGAAGCATCTGAATACTAAAAAATCCGAGTCCAAATTTGTATCTAGATTTGATAAAACATCCGATTCGCAAGGAAAAACCGTATCCGTATCCGAAAATAACATCTGTCCAAATATCCGAATATGTAATCTGAATATCTAAAATCAACCAAGCACAACCAAAAACTTTAAATCCTTAACCAAGTTTTTGAACAAAAATACAGTCAAATTCGAATGCACTTCCAAAGAAAACAGTCAAACGAAATGCATTTAATTTTTCGAATTCGAATTCCGTAACAAAAAAAAGAAAAAATCAAAGGAACAATCAACCTCTTTACAAAGCTAAAATGAAAAAAATTCCACCTAAAAATCTGGGCCTAATCACGAAAATATGGTCCTGTTTTTTTTAGTGAATTACTCCGTGTAAAATCTTTTAGGCCACTTTGAGTTTAATAAATACATAAATAATTTTACTTAAAATATACTCCCTCCATTCCATATTAACTGTCCATCATGACTTTCTTGGTACATTGAGAAATGAATGAATGTAGACATACGCTATGTCTACATTCAATCATTTCTCAATGTACCAAGAAAGTCATAATGGACAGTTAATATGGAATGGAGGGAGTACTCAACTACCACAATAAATTAAAAAGAAACTGTTAAAATTGCAAGTCGCACAACTGGGAATAAAAATGTGTTTTCCTTTTTATAATAATAATAATAATAATAGTAATAATAATAATAATAATAATAATAATAATTACAATTATTCTTAAAGTCACTGTAATAAAAATAAAAAATTGAGGCGTTGATTCTAAAATAAAAGGAAAAAAAAGGAAAATTGAGAGTTCGTACCTAAAATCAAAGAAGAGAGTAGATGATGATGCTAAGGATTGAGGTGATGCGCTGAAGAATGTAGAAGATGAGGCGCTGAGCTGAAGCCGCAGACTCGCTGAGGAAGACGCTGGTCGCTGCCTGCTCGTCGCCGGAAAATCGCTGAGGAAGACGCTGGCCGCTGGGACGGTTGGTCGCTGATCCGAAAAAAAAAAGTATTAGGTTGTGTATTCAATTGAGATTGTATTGGATTTTTTTAGACTCTAAAAAGTTAGTGAATTTAGAAAGTCAATAGATTCCATGTAGAGTTTGTCCAACTTTTCTATTGATTTGAGATAGATTTTATAGAGTCCATGGATTTCTATTGGAAATTTTGAGGTGCATTCCCTTCTGGCAATCCGGCATATAGATTGGGAGCAAAGACTCCATGCCAGCAAAGACTCCGATCCAGCCATGGCAGCTGCAAAATTTGAGAAGACGGAGGAAGAAGAAAGAAACAAGAAGCCATTAATGGAGGACATGAATTGGGAGCAAAAACTCCATGCCCTAACCCACATCATAACCAGCCCCGCGCCGTCACCGCCGCCGCTCCACTCACAGTACTTCATCGCCGTCCAAGTCCCCTGCTACCTCACCTGGCACTACCCGCCACTCCTCTACCCCAAGCCCCTCATCCACCCCAAGTGGGCCCTCTCCTTCTTCCTCAGGAACCTCTCCGTCGGCTCTGAGCGCCCGAAAAACTCGTGGAGGTCAAAATGCCCATACAATGTCCCGCCCCCGGTGGTGCTCGTCGGATGAGTGGAGGCGGCGGCATGGGGGGATGAGGAGAAGATGATGGAGCACGGGAGGAGAAGGGTTAGGAGGAAAGCGTCTTCAAGCAGGGGATGAGAAGGAGCAAGGTATTCTCACAATTCCAGGCTCCCCGCTGCAAAATCCATGGAAATCTGATGTACTTAGAGGGATTTGAGATAAGCATTATTTTGGGAGACAATCCAGCAAAATCTATGGAGTATTAAAAATCATTGATTGTTGAATACCTAAAAAAATTTTAAGACTTTTTAAAATCTTTATTGAATACCTCAAAATTTTTTAAGATTTTTGGAAATCTAGATTGAATGCCTCCAGATTTTGAAAGTCCAAAAAAATCCCGCAGATTTTTGGTTTTGGGTCATTTGGGCTTAGTGGGCTGGGTAGAAATTACAAAACTAGGAGTATATATAAAAATATTAATTACTCTAAACTACGGATAATTTTTTTTAAACTACAGTTAATTTTTTATTACTTATATTCGGTATAACGGATCGAATAATCGAATATGCGAATATATAAACGGATCTATACACAAATCAGACTCATAATTACCAAATCCGCATCCATTTATCAATCGGATGTGCGTAATCGGACACGGATAATATCCGTTTAAAACGAATGCAGATTGTTTCCATTTAAACAAATACGGATGCGAACGGTAATTGGATTTTCAATTATCCATTTACAGTCCTACACATGCCCAAGAATCGAACCCAAGACCTCATAGCCATATAGAGCAAGCATCAAACCATCTCTGCAACAATGCTTGGTGTTCATTCGTTGCTATTCCTCTTGAATATTCTTTAACTACAAAATTCTTTATCAAATACTTTTAAAAATATAGAGAGTTTTTTTTAACTAAAATTCAAAACACATTGATATAAGTTAGATGAAATGCATATCACACAAATATTTTATTTATATATAATTTAAATACTAGGTAAAATGTTTCAGAAAAATAAAATCACTTTTTATTTTTAAGCATTTTAAAATATGTGATGACACAACTCAAATAAATTAAGTAAATTATAAATTTAGTCAAACATCAATTATTTATTTATAAATAGAGGAAATATTTTTTGTTTACTCATAAATTAGTTTTTTAATTCAATGCCACAACCTGTGTGTGTGTCTATATATATATATATATATATATATATATATATATATATATATATATATATATATATATATATATATATATATATATATATTAAAGATGTTTGAACCACTAGTTCAATCACTCGAACCACTGGTCCGACCAATGAACCAGTGAACCAGTGCCTTGGCTGGTTCAATCACCGGTTCAGTTCTGAAAACTATGGTTAGATCAACTATGTTGTAAAAATGCGGAGTGCTGAGCAGTTAATAAATATCACGTCCGTCAATTGCATGATGAGCATATGCAGATGTTTTAGTGGATGAGTGAGTAGACATGGCTACTGTAGAAGACAAGTTGCCAAAAGTTAGGTTTAAGTGGTTTGGACACGTGAGGCGAAAGAGAGCTGACACCCTGTGTAGAGATGCGAAGGACTTACGTTGCTGGTGGAGTAAGGGAAGGGGTAGGCATAGAACGAATTGGAAGACGGTGATTAGGATCTAGGATTTCTCACCCTTATCGAGAATATCACGTTAAATAAAAGTGTTTGGGAAACTAATATTACCTCCGTCACAAAATATTTGTCAAGTTTTGACTTTTTTCAGCTAACTGTTTTCAACCTTTGACCTATAATTAAAATATATATATTGTATATTAATTAAATAAAATAATATTTCATAAATATTTAATATAATAGATCTAATAAAATTATTTTATATTAATATCTAATATCATTTTTATTTAATTAGAAAAGTTGAATAGGTGTTTGAGCTAAGTGGTAGTATTTGTACTTGGGTCCTTTATATGCTTGGTATGATTGGTACTCTCTCCTTATAGTGTTTTTTCCTAATATAATTAGTACAACATCTGTGTGTTTTATACTATCTCTACAATATGTGCCATCTATGACTTATATTATACTCCGTATGTGTTTTTTGAGCCGGAGGTCTCTTGGAAAGAGGCGCTCTACATTCGAGTAGAAACAAGGTCTACGAACACACCCTTCCACAAAATCTACTTTCGTAAGACCCAACTGAGTTGATAAAAACTTTAGATGAGTGACAGTAATTAAATAAAATAAAAAATCAAGTCCCTAATGTTAAACTCGTAAAAAATAAGGTATCATTGAATTGTTCTAAGCCACGTAAATCATACGAAGTACAAAATATGATGCGACCACGATGATGCGAGAAAACAATGGACAAAGAGAATAACACATTAACACCAGCATGACCTTGTTTGAATAAGTTTTTAATAACAAAAAGTTAACTTTTAAAACACTGATGATAAAATACAGTCATTAGACAACCATTTTCAAAACGCTGAAGCTAAAAACTGAGGTTGTTCCCAAATAGCCACATCTATAATTCGTTCCAAGCTGCAACTTCCTCGCCTCGACAATGCGAACACATAATTTGAAATCAAAGGGAAAAAGGGACAGCCACATTTGAAAATTTACTATGATCGCGTGCACTACTCTCTACAATTTCCTTCAAACTAGTCCAAGACTTTCGCCTCCTTTTCCTACATGTGTCATTGTTACTTTGATCAATAACATCTTTCGCAGTCATAATAGTATTATTGGTAACAGTAGTAGGATGCCCAGATCCAATGGCCTTCCCTAATCCTCCAGATTTTGTTGAAACACGGGTTTATCATGTTTTCGTACTAAAGCCGTGTTCGTTTTTATGACAGATTTTGATAATGCCAAACTGCCGTGAATGAGACGCGTTGTTGAATATACAAGGCGAGAAATAAATATAAGAATAAAGCAAGAGAACAAGCGCTAAAAGAGACCAAGAACGAAGACTGTAGTCTTTAGCGTCGTTGAGTCGGTCACAATGTGATCAAGACCGACCCAAGCTTTACACTTTGGCTTTTTAGGCTAGCGCGGCGGTCGGTCGAATGCCGCATTTGTGTACTCACAAAAAAATCAATGTTTTTATGCATTTTCATATGGATTTTTTTTAGAGTAATTCTATAATTAGTTTTTGGGAGTTTTTTTATTTTAATTCTCTTTATTAGTTCTTAGTCTTTTTTATGTATATTTTTTAGAAATTGTTTTTTTTATTTCTGTCTTATTGTTATTAGTGTTATTTTAAATGTTAAAATATTTGATAATGATCATATATATTTTTTGTCATACACAATACAAGAAGTTGTTCCGAATGCATTGTTTGTAAATCTCAATCGCTTTATGCTACAATCATAGTTTACACACTACAGATATAGTTTTTGGTGAGAATCTTTGTCCACATCAATAGTCATTATTCTTGTGTTGTCCGTCCAACCAACATTATAATATGTCACTGCACATAAAATTTATGTCAAATTATACTTTTAATCCTCAAATTAACATCAACATTTTACATATTTAAAAATTTAATTAATTCGGAGTATTAAAATAGATGAAATTTAACATTTTAAAAAGTGATATTTACACATTTTTCGAATGGTATATTAAAATAGTAAACACGCAAAAATTTGACCATTTAAAATACTTAAAAACTCAATAGAAAATTTTACATAATTAATTAATCGTCAAATTTTCTTCGACAAATTCTCGTAAGTGCCAATACAATTTATTTGCAACTTAATATGAGACGAATGAAGCATATAGTGTGATAGGGGGCGAGAGCAGGGAGTGAGTATTAATTTTTCTTCGAAAGAAACAGAAATCATTTTCCCATTGAGTTTAATAATGAATTCCAAATGTGAGTTCATGGAAATTGGGGTCCGAGCCTACTAGATGTGAGACAGGAACATTCATAAACAGAATTGATTTGATGATCCACGAAAAGGACTAGGGAAGATGAGCGCGAAGGATATTTAACTAGAGTTCAGTCACAACCCAAATACTCATCAATGAGGTTACCCACAAGATAAACTTTAGAATCGATGTATGTGATGTTAGCACAATAAAAATTGCCACCATGTTCAAAAACAACACTATTTGGAAGCTTCCTTTTTAACTTCATCAACAGCATTTCATACAAATCATATTTACACTTCTCTTCACCGACATTGATGAACATTAGAAACGACGCTTCGTCTCTATGCCCATTTTCAATTATTTCACTCATCTCACAATAGGCTAAAGAAAGGCGTAAAAAATTAATATCAAGTCAAGTCACCAGCAAATAATACCTTAACATAATTAAATAAAAACAATAACAAAAAGACCATACGAGAAAATAAAATCTAAAAAAAATCTATCTTTCGATTTGACTTTTTACAATCTTCATTGCATTACGATTAACATTAAACGTAAAGACCAAATTGAATAAACTAAAGAATACAAAGGCTTTTATTCTTTCTATCTCAATTTAAATAAGTTAAAGAATACAAAGACTACTATTATTCTCTCTCACAATTTATGCTATTGGCTTGCAATTCACAAGATCAACCTTGAAACATTTTCTCTATCTATTTCTATTAATTTGATAAAATAATATAGTCATATCAATTACATAATTAAGAAAACTTTTAGTTTATAAATTTTTAGATTTTTTTTAATTCTCTACCAATTTTTAAATAAAAATAATTTGAAAATTTTGATACAACCCGGACTTTGTTTTCCATTTGATGAATTAATCTACCACTTTTTTTACCCTAAGCATATATCGGAGTATATGTTATACCAAAACAAGATGCAAATTGTTTCTGAGAATCAATTCATTTCAAGATTCTGCCAAGACCAAAAAAATGTTGAATGGAACAAGACCAAAGACTTCATTGATATGAGTTAGAGTTTTGACTGCCCGATCGGCTTTCGTGTAGGCAGGACGGCTCGCTGCAACGCCTCTTGGGTGAGTGACACCACAAGCTGAAAAATTACCACATTTTGAACAAAATCAATAAATCAATATAGGGCTAATGATAATCAAAATCATCATCATTATCATCACAAGGTTAATCTGGAAACTCTTGCTGTTTACCGTTCCGTTCCGGTCAAACATTTGCCCAGAAACAAAACCGCGAGCGTTATGTGCAGATGGACTCCCAATCTGGACCAAATTCACAAAGCAATTTAGAGAAAGAATGGAAATGTGATTAGCCAATTTACACAAATATTTGCTGTGTTGGGTAAATCTTTGCTTGCTCACCACAAACAGTATCCAGTCGTCAGCCCGGATTGGCCTGTGAAATTACATCCTGAAATAGAGAGCAAGTAAACATGAATCATACTAAAATTTTATTTTTGTACCCAAAAAAAGTTCCGTTTATAATTTCACTTTTCTTAACAAGCGTGTCATTTTGGGATGAAGGGAGCAATGGGGTCCATGAAATCAAAGCAAGAGACATACGAGTGTAGCTTGAAGACACTTACGAGTGATCGAGACTAAGAGTCGCAATCTTCAGCCCTGCCTTGCGATGAGGATTATTACTTACAGAAGAAAAGATAAGATCCGACGCATATGCCACAACACATCTATAAGGGATAAATTTTTAGAAATGCGGAGTTGTGGCAGTATCAAAGTTTGGGAATGAAAATATCAATTCCCAAATTAGATTATTAGAGATATGTAAGGAAATATTGTTGGTACCGGTGCAAAGCTTGATCATCAGAAAGATTTCCCTTTGCTCTGAACCAGAACCTCAAACTGCTTCCACAATGGGGACAAAATGCACGAGTTCATCATGATATTTCATTTTAGTATACATTCATGTCAATACTATACTTTTACAACAATACTCCAACATTGCATATTGCAACGATATTGAATTTCTGGAAGCAACAGTAATAATTATGTAATCTTGGAATATTCTTGTAAATTATCAAATTTCTAAGAGTATTGGCATGACTTTTTTTCTTCATTTTATGCCTCAACCAAATACATTCAACAACTAGAGACAGTGAAGCTGACCTTGGAGGGCTCTTGGTCTGGCTGGTTCCTGTACTAGGATCACAGAACCTTATCTCTATAGGCCATGGAACAAACTCCACAGTAGCTAAAATGTTCCTATAGGTTCTGCAAAATTTTGAATACTTATAAGGAATCAAGTGAATACAACAACAATAACAACAAACAATCTCACAAAAGTAGGGTCCGGCGGGAGGGTTGGAAGGCAGAGTGTACTAGACAAGGTCATGGGTATGGCCTAAAACCTGGGAAGACGAGGATCAGTGAGCCGCCTTTCACGTACCTCTTCCATTGACAGAAGCTGCATTAACAATTTTGAATAAGCAAGTTGCATCAGAATGAAAACTGGATGGAAAGATGTTGTGATTACATTGTACCTTTTCTGGATCCTGCACATTAGGCATTCATGTAAAATCTCAAATTTATGAGAATATGCACATAATTTTTCCTAACAGTAATTACACTCTGTAATACTTCGTAATAAACTAATACTGTTAGACATTGAGTGATTACCTGAAGTGAAGCAACTAAAGTAAATACAACATTCCCTTTCTGTATTGCATCTACCCTCCTTGTTGAGAAGTGAAAGTTTTGAGGGCTACTTCTGTACTCAACACATGCACAGTGATTCTAAGAACTGATGCAGTGCTTCAGCACTACCTATAACAGCAGATAGTATAATGTGCAGAATAAAGTAAATACGCAAGACAAAGGATTTGTTTACACAGTTCGGAAAACTTTCCTACTCTGCGGGGCCCACATCCGTGTAACAACCCATCCACTAAATCACCGTAATGATTACACCTTCAATACCAACAGACTCGATCTATTGTATTGACTTAATCAACTTACGAATGACTTTGATAGCAAACTCTGTTTGTATCATACTTCATGGCTGTTTACACCTACTTCATGCATCTGGATGTGTTAAGACCCTTTTCCAGCACTTCAAAGATCACCTGCTGGATAGCAGACCTTTCTGCTCCTTGAGACGTATTCTCTCTAATGATCAATACAGGTTGTCAAAGGCTAACAACCCATGAATCAGACTCTCTGTAATTCTGTGTAGCTCTGTATCTTTCTCTTTTTTCTCTCTCGAAGTTCACCCTTTTGCAGCGCAGAGATATATATTTATATATACGACAACATGAAACCCTAGTTGAGTCCTTCTCAATAACCACCAACCTGTGAGATGACTTCTAGCTCAAGCTGGACATGTATGTGTATATCCTTCGTGAATCCTCAACATGGCAGGACGCTACAATCCCAAGCCAACTAGACAACTTATTCCTACTATTTGTTTTTGTCATAAGGATAAGGCCAACTTAATATAAACAAATACAAACCCCATGCTACCCAGACTTTTGGTACGGTGTGTACACTATTATAGGAACTAACAAGAAGCTCTTCCCATCACGCACACGATGTACTTCATATATTATTGGAACTAGAAAAACCAAGAGTAATGACACTTTTAAATGCGAGAGGCTTGCAGTAGTGGGTGGGAGAGAGTAGGGATAGATAGACCTAAGAAGAGTTTGGAGGGTGTGATTATATAGGACTTACGTCTTCAAGATCTTACCAAGGATATGACTTTAAATAATAACAACGAGAGGTCTAGGATTAAAGCAGTTGGGTAGAACTTTGGGCCTTAGCATGTAGTCTTTGCTGGTTTTTTAACCCTAGTCCGTAACTTGTGCATGTGTGCTCTGAATGTTATTGTTAGTGTCGGTATGTATGATACGTCTCATTGTGCTCATACTTCGATCATGCTACTATTTGTACCCCCTGACCCTACTTTTTGTGGGATTTTACTATGCTTGTTGTTCTATCTTTCGCTCAAGATATATGCTTATCGTGTACACATTCATGTGATTATTCTTGAAAAATCAATATTTGTGTGCTAAAGCACACCTCGCTCAAATGGATGGTATTGAAAGATAAACAAAAACCAATGGAAATGTTACAGAGTATAATAAAAGTCACGAAAGTGAGTAAGGAGCTTACTATCAACATCCCCACCGAGAAGGAAGTGGGCACGAATGCTGTGAACAATCTTGAGACAATTAACAGTTTTTGTGGCTGCTGCTAATGCCTGGACAAAAAGTCAATTGCACATTTTCACTAAATTTTAAAAAATCACAACAAAAAAATTTTATAAAAAGGTTCTCCATTACATTCTGTGAGACATTGCTTCAATGAGCTGCATCTGTGCTTCATTCTTTCTTACAGAGCCTTCATGTTCATGGGGATACTGTAAGAACATGTAGAGAAGGTAAAGTAAGATGAAGGTAAAAATAAACACTTAATCTTACATTTATTCAAGGAAAGACTATAAGGGACAAACCTTGTGCCAAAAATGAACAGGTTCAATTTGCGGTCCAAATGATCATATCTTCATATACTACTCTGATCATGGCGGACTTGGAGTGCTAGGTTCGTAGCTTTATCCTCTTTCCCCAATTTTTTCATAGTAACTAGATTTGATGATACCAACTGTTTGTCAATTTAGACATGCCTACCTTTCCAAACTTGTAAGTGAATGACCTAATTGATGTGTTGAAGAAGAAGCATGCTTTAGAGATTTATAATCACATACATGCTTCATTTTGCAATTTGGTTATTAGGATGACATTGATTTTGCTGACTTTATGAACAGTGAAGTTCACAATTTGCAGACCATGACTTTGCAAGAGCAATATGAAAGGGTAAGCATTTTTCATGGTACATTCCTTTGGATTTAAAGGCAAAGTGCCTTCATGGCTTGTATTTAAATAATGCTTCCATTCAAAAAACTAAATTGTTTGCACTCTTCTTGACTTGGATTTTTCATTTTTATAGTGGCATTTGTAGATTGTATTGGATCAAAAGAATGCAAACAATTTAGTTTTTTGAATGGAAGCATTAGCATATAAATACAAGCCAAGAAGGCACTTTGCCTTTAAATGCAAAGGAATGTACCATGAAAAATGCTTACCCTTTCATATTGCTGTTGCAAAGTCACGGTCCGCAAATTGTGAACTTCAAAGTTCCCAAAGTCAGCAAAATCAATGTCATCCTAATAACCAAACCAAATTGCAAAATGAAGCATGTATGTAATTATAAGTCCTTAAAGCATGCTTCTTCTTCAACACATCAATTAAGTCATTCGCATACAGATTTGGAAAGGTACACATATCTAAATTGACAAACAAACAGTTGGTATCATCAAATAAATCTAGTTACTATGAAAAAATTGGGGTAAGAGGATAAAGCTACGAACCTAGCACTCCAAGTCTGCTATGATCAAAGTAGTATATAAAGATATGATCATTTGAACCACTATTTACAACCTTCCCACTTCCTCCGGTTAAAGCATCTTTGTTCCCGAGGATGACAGCAAAGAAGTTGTTAACCGTAACATTTTCCTCGTGTTATCCTGTCAAGTGAAAACCCCTCTTGTCAAGGGATAATGTCTTACTCTATATACTGAATACTGTTCGAAATTGAAAAGAGAACAACCTTTAGAACTCCTTTATAAACATGATCACCATGTGGGTTATTGATGATAACTCCAGGCCTTGGATTTTTTTTATTGAAAGCAATGTCATCATACATGAAAACAATGACATTCTCCTCTTTAAGTCCACCTTTTATCAAGATTTGATATGCATAACAAACATCAGCCTGTCAATTGCAGAATTTGGAATGAGCCACAAAGCTGAAATCAAATCGAAATGAATTGATCATAGATATTTCGTTGCAATACCACATAAATAACCATGTCAATAAAATTTTAATCTCTGAATACCAGTTTATATATTGCCAAACATAACCTAGGGTGTGCATCCGTGCATCCTTACAAAACATAAATCTAACTTCATCCAACAACACTAAAGAACCAATCTATAGCAAAATACAGCATTGATTATTCATGAATCTAGGTTACAAATGAGATTTCAATGAGTAATGATGCATACATTGTAACACCCCAACCCGCGTAACCCGAATAAATAGGTTAACGAACCGGGTTGCTACTAGATTGATATCCACATACAATATTTTTCAAGAAATAAAAACATTTAATTTAAAACTAAACAATTCAAAACCATTTAAATACATATCGGAGTTTATACAAACAGTGCGGAAGCTTTATAATTTAATCAAAGATTCTTAAATCCCTACATCCATACATCTCCTCTGTCACGCTGCCCTCCAGGATGTATTCCATGGTCAGCCCGTCCATGATTACTTACGTGTAACAAGGGGAAACAGAGGCTACACGGTCAGCAACAAAGCTGAGTGAGAAATATCTAAAAGTTCGAACATACACATAGATGAATCCACTAAGTTATAATCATAACATGATATCATGCATATAGTTTTAATACCATGCAGTTCACATAAACAGTTCATCACATAATTTACCTCGCACCTGCCCTTTTCTATTCTCATCAAAACATAGTGTTTCTTGCAATGGTAGATCACCATTCATCTGTACTTAACTCTACACTAGACTAAGGACTTTCTACCTTTCTTGGAGACATGATTGTTATCACTGGATCAGCGGGTCATGTTCAACCAACGAGTGAGTTCTCACGGTTAGAGGTTCACCAATCCCTATTAATTAAACTGGACTAGGTCTTACTACTTTACTTGAGGTTATGATGGTTCCCACTGGATCAAGAAAAGCATCTGTATCTCACTGAAAAAATACCCCTAAGCAAGAAAAAGAATAAGAGTTTCAAGTATAGCATCTGTATCACAATAAAATTGCAAATGAGATTTATAAATTTTATGTAATTACCTATGACTTGGAACTTGTACATATCTCACTTTTGGATGTTACTTCTTACTTGAGATCATTAATCTCACAAAGATGTTTTTTTTGTGATCTTTCTCCGCTTTAAACTATTGGCTTCAACCTTTTCACCGGAATTATCATAGCCAGAAGATCCATATTCATTGCTGTCAAATCCCTTCCATAGACCTTTCACCTTTGGCATTTGTTACTTATCTTCTGAAGATAAGGAGAGCCTGTACTCAAATTCCATATTGTAGTATCTCCGTACTACTTTTTAGTATTACACTAACCAAATAAAACATGTTGGCGAAGAATCCTGGGAAAAAGAGCACAAAAAGTTGAAACTGCATAGGAGTTACATGCGTCAAAATAGTGTGATCAGCGAAGACATGATTATATCAACGTTGTTCTCTGGGGTACTGATATGTTCACCTTATTTTGTTTTCTTATTATTATTATTATTTTGTTTCAAATATAAAGCAAACCACAAACATTGAGAAGAAAAAATTATATCTCAAATTTGATCAAAATCCAGATCTTCTTGTGACCTGCTTAGTAAAAACCTGCTATGTTTATAAACTTGGTTTAAAACAAAAACCTTAAGATAGTGAATACTCTAACACTATGTTTGGTTCAAGGAATTTGAAAGGGAAAAGAAAAGAAAATGAAGTGGAAAACTGTTTTTCTTGTTTGGTTAGAGGGGAAAAGAAAGGAAAAATGGAAGGAAAAGAAAATGAAAAGGCAAAATGTACCAAGTGGAGGGAAAACCAAATTCCTTCCATTTTGGTGAGGAAAATGAGAGAAAACCATTTTCTTTTCTTTTCCTTCCAAATTCCTTGAACCAAACATAGTGTAAAAGTTGGGAACATTTAGAATTCTCCCAAGTTTTTTGGATGTGCTTCAACCACCATGCCCAAAAAGCAAGAAAGAAAAACATATCTAACTCCTGAAACAAAATCTACCTAATGTCTCACAAGAAAAATAAAAGAGGATGTAGTGACAACATACCACACTTGGTAAATAAACGAGGATATGTTGGAATTCTGGAAACATATTTTCTTGTGTTCAAAGGTAAATTATCATTGAACAAACAAATAGAATAAAGAAGATGAGTTCATTTAATAATCTTAACACCAACATAGTTTTGGTAAGGCTTTTTTATTTCTGTAATAAGTTTAAGTTTAAAAACTAAATACCCGAGTTAATGATTTTTTTTAGTCTCTTATTAAGGGGGATTTAGAATTAGCTTAGCCTTTACATTAGATTCAGTAGCACCCTTCCCTCTTGTTTTTAGCCTCTTATTAAAGTGAAGTGAACAGAGCAACGGTAATCTCCATAACAGTCATGAAATTTAATTTGCAGCATTCCAAGAATGCAAACACTTTTTTTAACTTCAAAAGAGCAAAAGAAGAGAAGCTTAGCATAAACATACCAAGAATAATATGAACAGAAAAGTAGGCATTTCTCTTTGAAAAAATGAGGTGAAGTGAATGGAGCAAAGTGAAGTAAAGTGATTCTCTAACCTTGAGAGTAGAGAACCCTACCTTATGTCTAAAACAAACTTCCTATGTATGGTTTGTATGAGGGACATTAGTTTTTATCAAAAAAAAAATGAGAATAGAGGGTGTGAATCCCATGCTTGGAATTTTCAGCTTTCAATTAACAATATAGAAGTCCGAAATCCAATTAATCAAACATTCAAATCAAGTCAAACCCCAAATTATTGATTTCCAGATTGGTGAAGGTTTCACTTTCGTATTAAGAAGGTTACCTTTGAATATGGGAGGATGAAGGACAAATCAGAGCTATCTTCCACCCCTCCTTCTCTGAGACGGCTGACACCTGTCTCGAGCTCCATTGTAAAGGGGCAAAAGATATGGGGAAAGTTGGTTTGATTCGTTTCATCATCGTACAGGTATTGCTCAAGTTTGGGAAATCACTCACACTCCACATTCTTGGGGAAAGAGGCAAAATAACACGCTGTATCTATATGACAGTGTAGACTGTCATATAGAGGAATTTTGGCAGTGGATTTTGGAACATTAAATTTAAATCTTTGAACATGTAGACACACTTTATGTTAGCCTATACTGTCATATAGGCTAAAAAACTGAATTTAACAGTATTAGACTGTATTCTTCCTCACACTGCCAAAAAACTCTACCAAGAAAACTTTATTTTGGCTTCAATTTGACAACGGAAGATATGGCGTTCTATATTAACTTTATAACTTAATTCAATGTGTGGACTGTTTGAATGTCTTTGAACAATCCTGGGGAAGATATATGAGGGTATCAAAAAATAAAGTGTTATTATGCCTAAAACAACATCTGGTGTTATCATCCGGCTTTAGATGTGTTTTGTAAATGGGAAGTTTAAAAACCTGGAATCTAGGATTATTGGTCATTATTCTTACTAAATAAATTGAACATAGATACAGCGTATTATTTCTGCTTTCAAAAGTCCCTTGTCCCCTGGTAGCTGCCATTCGTACTAACCAACTCGACCTCCTGCATGCAATGCCTCACGATCTTAAAAGACCAGATACTCGCTTTCGTTCACTAAATGACGACAATGGTCTATTCGTAAGGTTTTCGGGGCTTTCCTTTCTATTATTTTTATTAATAGAATATTAGGGCAAGCATACTTCCTTTAAAAGAATTAAAAGAATAGGCCAGTAGCGGCCCAAGGAATAGAGAATGTTGAATCGGTACGTATACTCAAGCTTACACAGGGTACCATAGAATTTTCCATGAATTAAACACAATAAATAGGGGCATGCATTACACACACTAAAAATGAAACAACAAAATAAAGGAACATGAAAGGGTTTGATGTGTACCAGTTCTTTCTAAGAAATGAAACCATGGTCTATTGTCATTTTCGTGAACCTGGAAAAATGGTCAGAGATTAGAAGCCAAGGCCAATATTTCAGCAAGAGTCATCTAAATTCATGCTTAGAAATCAAACAAACTGTAAAAGAATGGATCCCATCTTAGTTAGTGCTCCATAGTAATTACCTGTCAAGGGGCTGAATATGAGGGGAGAGATGATGTTACGAAATGAACTTAAGCCCGAAATGCAGCATTGGGCAGTTCCCTACAAATACAATTTTGGCTTTTATAAACAGAACACAACGTACAGTCGTACACATGGATTGTTAGATGTATGATTTTACCTACTTGCTCATTCCTTCCAACATGTTTAGAAACAATGGTTTATAGTTGCATGCATGATGACTTTACCTACTTCGATCACTCTTTAGAAGACGTCTGCAGATGTCTATGATCAAAGTGCCAGTGTGATATACAGAACATGATATCCTACTCCCAAAATTCCATAAAATATGTATCAACAAGCCCCAAGTATTACTCGGGTATAACATATGTTGAAGCAAACCCCTTTTATCTAACAAATTCATAGATCTAAATACTATAAACAATACCATGAACCTCGGTTTTGTGAAAAAAACAATATTTTTAGCTGCAATACAACTCAACAAATAGATTACTTATATCCATGATTTGGGCACCAAATGCGATCAAGTGCATTCTAAATTACCTTCTAAGGACCTCAAATCCTTCAAATCATTTTTATGGGATAAAATAATTTTCACAAACATGCACCGCATACAATCTGTTTGTATAAAAATTAGAATAGGTGTATAAAAAATTGACCCAGTTTCAAAAGAACTGCACCCTAGAAACTTCCGAAGTTTGGAATTCCTTGAAATTTGAGCCAATTCCAAACTGTTGAAACACCCGCTTCTAAAAATCTGTGAAATTGAACTATCAAAAATTGAAAAACAGAGATACGAGGAAGTACGAACAAACAACGACATACCTAGGAATTGAAGAAAAAAGACATATCGGAACACCGGAGAACGAAAATATAAGAGGTGGGCAGTGAAGAAGCTCTTATCGTGGGGCGGTGGGTGGCGCTCCACTAGGGGGCATTTGTCCACCGCTTTGTCTGCATTCCATATCGATTTAGGTGGAAGCAGATTACAGTGTTCATGGCGCAGCACCAAGCAGGTTAGCTGCCCTTGAAAAAACACAATAACTTTGGAACCACAAAAAACAGAAATGGATGAGATAAATGATACTCGCAGAAAGGTGAGTACTTTAGTGAGTGCAATTACAGCAGCATGCTGAGCTGGTGATGCGAGGCCTGCACGTTCATCTATAGACGTCACTTAAAATTAAAGAGGAGCGGATAAAATCGCACAAACAATGAGACGCATCGCACAAACAAGGTTTCAGTTAGCGTTAGTATTTTGAATAAGTTTTTAATAACAGAAAATTAACTTTGGAAACACTGATGCTAAAATACTGTCATTACACAACCATTTTCAAAACGCTAAAGCTAAAAACCGAGGTTGTTCCCGAACAGCCACTATATAATTCATTCCAAGCTGCAACTTCCCCACGTCGACAATGTGAACATATAATTTGAAATCAAAGAAAAAAAGGGACAGCCACGTTTGCAAACTTGCTATGATCGCGTCCACTACTCTCCGCAATTTCCTTCAAACTAGTCCAAGACTTTCGCCTCCTTTTCCTAGCTGTGCCATTGTTACTTTGATCAATAACATCTTTTGCAGTTGTAATAGTATTATTGGTAACAGTAGTAGCATGCCCAGATCCAATGGCCTTCCCTAATCCTCCAGATTTCATCCTCCTCCTCTTTCTCTTTGAGTCCAAAAGGCTAATGTCCACTCTCATCGACAATGGAGTCGAAGGATCATCTATTGGTTCAACGGGCGCACCTCGTGCAATCTCGTTATCATTACTATTACTTTGATCGGGAGATGACTTTCTTGCCTCTTCAGGTAGGGGTAAGGTCTCCGTACATCCACACTCCCCAAACCCCACTTGTGGGACTTTAGTGGGTTGTTGTTGTTTTTTGTTGGCAGTCTTTGATTCAGAGGACTTGTAGGCTAAGGGCTTGTCCTTTCGTGGGCATATCTCTTTCAGGTAGCCTCTTGCCGTTCCTGAGATTAGGTTGCGGTGTGAACAAGAGTGACATGTGTAGACCATGTGATTTTGCAGGTTACTTCTGGATTTTTTGTTCTTGTGGCGGTGGGCCTTTCTGTTGCTCTTCTCGACTCGGATGGTACAATTGTAGCCGGGTTGAAGAACGGATTCGCACCTGTGGAAGAAAAAAGATGAATTCTTGACTCTGGTGTAAAACCACCTATTTGCACCCAATAGAATATTCAACGATTCTATCTTCACAAGCAAAAGCGCAAACGAGAAAACACTTACGTGGTCATCCAAGACTTGAACAAGTAAAGTGAAACCACACTTTTGGTTTCAAACAAAAAAAAGTCTCATCGCACAAGAACGGCCCAAATTATATGCTCCGTAATATAGATTTGAAAGAAAGCACAAACATTTGGAACAAAAGGGAGTAAGCAGAGCAAAACCTTTGACAAGAGACCAAAGAAGGGTCGGGAGCCAAACCCAAGGACTCAGAGTAAGCAGCTAATCGCGTGCCGAAAAAGGTGCTCAATGGGGGTATGGATGCTACGCCGCTGGCCCAAACTGCAAGGTTTTTTATATGATCCACTTTCACCATCAACTTGGGGTTAACATGACTCGGCTTCCTTGCATTCCAATCATGTCGGATCGTGCTTGATCCAAAAGTCACACCACCACTTCCTTCTCTCGAGTTAGGCCCTTTCTTGCCCATATTTTGGGGTGAAACAGTCACGGAACTCGCAGCCTGGATAAAAAAACCCCACCATTCATACATATTTTCATTCACAAAACGAAAAAAGGATGTAATTATTGTAAACTAAAACAATAAATACATTTATATTTAAAAACACAGACCAACAAGAAAACAAAATATCAGCTAAGCAGGGCAAACAAAAATGTCTTAACAGCATAAAATGACATGGAGTATTAATTTTTTCTTCCACATATGCATATCTTACATTCCTAACCATGGAGTCCCGACTCGTTAGTTGTGATTTAACTGATAAATATTTGATAGAATTTGGGATGGGTATATGAACAACTAGATTGGGTAATAAGACACTTGGGTTGAACCACATTAAAAGATTGAATCCAATCGATTAGTTAGTTCAACTCTAGAGCTTATATACCGATTATTTTACTCTTGGATTTCCGATGTGGGATGTACTCTAACACTCCCCCTCAAGTGGACAACCGGGCCATTTTGAATCTAACCGGTTGACCACTTGCAAATGAACTCCCATTCCCTTGACTTTTTTTCATGAGCGCCAACACCTAAAGGACCACGAGCCGCTGGGTATGGACTTCCAAACGAGCAATCGTGTTAAACAGGCCACAGGCCGTTGGGTACAACCTCCATACGGACAACTGGGCTAAAGACTAATGGGCCGCTAGGAATGAACGTCTAGACGGACACCTTGACAAACGAGGTGGGCTAAAACTGGCTCCGATACCATGATAAATTTAGGATGGAGTATGGATAACTGGATTGGGTAACAAGACACTTGGGCTGAACCAAATTAAAAGATTGAATCCAATCAATTAGTTAGTTCAACTCTAGAGCTTATATACCGATTATTTTACTCTTGGATTTCCGATGTGGGATGTACTCTAACAATATTCATACTCTATATAAAAAATAAATGAAAAAAAATCAACTATTCGAACAAACATTCAAAATATAATTCTCAAACTAAATTTTCAATGTCATAAATTCTACATCAGATTTTTTTTAAAGATAATATTCAATCATTCTCGGTAATGTTGTTGTAAACAAGCTGAAAATACCCCCTTTAGCAAATGAATTGTATGTTTTTCGGTCACGAATATCGATTAAATCAACCCCTTGACCTAGAAGAATCACCACTGTCCTCAATTAGCCCATCGCAGTGTTTTCAGTGACATAGAATCAATCGATTAGAGGGGAAAATTACCTATGAGTATAGATTAATCGGTTGTTTGCGAGAAGCTTTGGGCGCGGCGGCCGAACGAAGTCTCTGGTGGCGGCAGCAGGCGTGGTGCGGCGGTCGGTACAATGCCTATAGGCGTTTGTGTACTCTCCCAAAACAAAATTTTTAATGCATTTTCATGTAGTATTATTTTATTGTAAATTCTATAATTAGATGTTTTATGAATTTCACAAAATAAATTAGTTATTGCATGTGTTTTGTAACCTTATTTTTATGAATGAATAAATTATATGTACTCTATCAATAAATTTGTTGTGATTTACTTCTTATTTTAATTTTGGTGTATGGTGCATTATTTAAAGTCAATAAATAATTATTTTATTTATGAATTTTATTATTAGTAGATTGTTTGTTTCATTATATGTAATTAATTTGCTGGTTTTTATAATATGTTTTTGTTATTCAATTATGAGAAATAAAGAAAATAATTGATTTAAAAAAATAATAGAGGAACAAAGTTGAGAAATTAATAAAAAAAAATGATTTAAAAAAATAATAGTGGGACGGAGTTGGCTACTCTGTTTTCTTAATTAATTATTCGGAACAAATTTAGCTACTCTGTTTCATTAAATAATAAATCCTAGTTTATCTTTTGAATAATTAATCAAGGAAACCGAGTCGCCAACTCTGTCCCACTATTATTATTTTTAAATCATTTTTTCTTAATTTCTCAACTTCGTTCCACTATTTTTTTACATCAATTTTTTTCTTTATTTCTCATAATTGAATAAAAAAACTATTATAAAAACCAGCAAATTAATTACATATAATGAAACAAACAATCTACCAATAATAAAACTAATAAATAAAATAATTATTTATTGACTTTAAAAAATGCACCATACACCAAAATTAAAATAAGAAGTAAATCACAACAAATTTATTGATAGAGTATATATAATTTATTCATTCATAAAAATAAGGTTACAAAACACATGCCATAACTAATTTATTTTGTGAAATTCATAAAACAGAAACTTAGATATAATTGAAATCCAGATATAGCTATTGTTCATTGCGACGTCGCTGTGGTCGGTAGTCCATGTTATTCGGATAGCGAGTTCTTGTAGGTCAATCGGTTTGGTCTCACAATCTCGTATCTTGGAGTAGGCCATTCGGCCTCATCAGGAAGCGGGATTATGATGTCCGAATAAGCGTTGCTGTAGGATTGGATTGAGAAAACATTAGGAATCAAATGATTCACGGTGACACTACACTAATGGGGTGCATATCGAATAACATCCAATTCTCATCAGATGGGGTGCATGTGCATCCTTTACAAACTAGAGGTATATTATAAGTTACTTTTAAAACCACGAGGGGGTGTTGGAGCTCCTTTTTGAAACCATAAAGGGAGGGGGCTGTGGTGCATTTTCCCTTGAATTGGGCAACACTGGATCCGGTCTCACACCACAGCTGGCAGAACGCGAACGTCCCCTCACCGCCGCACTCCGCCCGAAAGTGAACGGCTCTCAGCCTCGATCATATTGTTGTCCAGCACGCACGACAGCCTAACTCTGTCGGCCGCCGCTGCCTCTCTCTCTAACCGGCAGCTCTTACTATGCGTACCTCTCTTCTTCTGCCGAGCAAACTAACTAATTTCTAGCTGCTGCTAGCTAGCTAGCGAGGTCGTCGTCGCTCAGTCCTAAAGCTATGGACACTTAGTGGATTGATCCTGAACCACCCATATATATGGAGTGTTGATGATGCCAGACGAACAATTGTTCGCCGACCACCGATCACAGATCCATACTCCCTACCTACTTGGGTGTTTGACCACAACAAATTAAAATGGCTTCCCGCCGGCACTTTAAGCCAAACCCTTTGGTCTGAGGTGCCCTTGCATTGATGTCATCCCGTGTTTCTTCCTTCCATGGAGGATCAGAAACCATGAATGTTCAATTTCAAAGACGTTCCATCCAACTGATGACCCTGTGCGGCAAAAGCTTTAAGCAAGAGGTAGATGGATTCGGCTATGAATGCCAATGACATAGCTTTGGGGATCGAGAAAGCACTGATACGGACGGAGTTACGGATATGACGGAGGCTAGAGTCCCAGACATAACGTCAGAGGTTCGGGCCGGTCGTACCGAAGAGCAGGAGGAGGCCCGTGAGCGAAGAAGTGATCGACACAAGAAACGTCCGGCTTGGCATAAGGATTATGTTATTAATAAGTGACATTATTTTATATTATTACTGTATCGTAGATTTTGTTAGGTGAGCGTTTTATAAGCTCCTTCGAGGGTTTCTTT